AAAGGAGTTCTTTCCTGTGTCCCTGCTGACGGCTTGATTCAGTCCAGTAAAACCCATCTGGTCTCTTCCAGCCCTCGGCCTTTGGAGCCTGAGCGGCCCCCAAAGGCCCATGTGGTACAAGGCTTGGTCCCCCCCCCCCGTGCTGTTCGGAGGTGGTGGGCCCAAGAGGCAAGGCCTACTGGAGAGTCCTAGGTCATGGGTGTGTGTCCTCAGGGGGACAGGGGCACTGTGAGACTCCACCCCCTTCCTCCTCCTCTCCATGCCTGGAACAGCCTAAGCTGAGCTGCTCCACGAGCTGAGCCATGAGTTGAACAGCCTGGCCCCACCGCTGGTCCCCTGGCTCCATGCATTCCTTGCCATGGGCCAGAAGTGTCAGGACCAGCTGACCACGGACCGAATCCTCTGAAACTGTGAGCTGAAATAGCCCTTCCTCCTTTTCCGTTGATTATCTCACCTGTTTAGTGACATTCGTGGAAAGCTGACACAGACGGTAAGCGAATGATTGGTGTTGTTTTGAGTTACTACATTTTGACAGGTTGTTGTAATAGCCATAGAAAGCTAAACAGAAGCTACTGTGAAAAAGATGTGGCAATCTTTATGACATTTCATACAGATGGGTAAATTTATAGAAAAACGCAGCGATGAAAAATTGGCAGGAGAGGAAAAATCGGAATTATCTGATAGCCATTCAGTCTTCGACTACAAACTCTCCCACGAAAGGAATTCCACATCCAGAGGACATCAACAGAGAAACTGCCCTACTTTTAAGGAAAAATGATTCTCCCTGTCCACACACTGTCAGAACAAGGAAACGTTTATAAGGTCAGTTGAATTTGATATGAGAACGAGGACAATATTAAAAAGAAAAGCTCCAGGCAAACTCATGCGTACACACAGACGCAGAAATGCTACATGAAATATTAAAAGACACCGAACTATCAGGCAGACCTCACACTATAAATGCAAATGCCATTGGTCACGTTAACCCTTTGGCTTCCTTCCGTCCTTCGCGGGCTTCCACGGTTGGGTGGCTCCACTCTTCGGCTGCCGTGAGTGATGCTGTCGTGAACACTCACATACAAGCTCCGGGGTGGAGCTGGGTCTTCCCCACTCTCGCAGACAGATCCGGGAGTGAAGCCGCCCTGTGCGCTCTGTGCTTCACCCGTGTCGGCACCACCAAACTGTTTTCCAAAGTGGCCGTAGCATTTCTATCTCAGCAGGGAAAGAGGGCTACAGTTCCTCTCCAGCTTTGTTATCACTTGCTCTCCTCTGGGTTTTGATTATAGCAATCTATAGTCACATCAGGCTGTGTTATTGAGATTTGCATTTCCCTGATGGCTAATAATGCTGACCATCTTATCGTGTGCTTGTTGGCCACTTGTGTATCTTTTGGGGGAAACGTCAACTCAAATCCTTGACTCGTTCGTGTTGGCTTATCTGCCTTTTCCTGGAGTTGTAAGAGTTTTTATATAATCCAGATATCAGGCATATGATGTGCAAAAGTGTTTCTCCTCCTCTGGGAGTTGTCTTTTACATTCTTGATGGTTGTATCAGCTTTCCCCACACAGAGACACAACACCTGACACCCTGATTAAAGAAGGAGAAGTTTAGTTTGGCTCATGGTTTCGGGGGGTTCCGTCCATGGTTGGCTGGCCCCAGGCAGGAATATCATGGCAGGAGGCACGGAAGAGCAGAGCTGCTCATTTCACAGCAGCTGGCAAGCGGTGTGAGAAGGAACTGGCCACGGACCACAGAACCCGAGGTCACACCACCTCGGCTCACCTAGACTCACCCAGGACAGTGCTACTCATTGGCTACAGTAGGCATTTCTTTTCTTGCTTTCTTTTTTTTTTTTCTTTTTAGTTTTTTGAGATAGGGTCTCACAATGTAGTTGAGACTGACCTGGAACTCACTATGTAGCCCAAGCTGGTCTTGATCCTCCTGCCTCAACCTCCTGAGTGCTAGGATTACAGGCACATGCCACCACGCCTGGCCAAAGCACTGAGATTCTTATTTTATTTTATTTTTTTTTGTACTGGGATAGAACTTGGATCCTTGTGCTTGTGAGGCAGGCAGCAGAACCACTGAGCTAAATCCCTGGCCCAGCATTTGTTAATTCAATAAAGTTAACATTCAAGGCTGGACGTGGTGGCACACGCCTGTAATCCCAGCACTGGGGAGGCTGAGGAAGGAGGATCGCTGTGAATTGGAGACCAGCCTGGGCTGCACAGTGAGTTCCAGGTCAGTCTCGACTACATAGTGAGACCCTGTCTCCAAAAACAAAACAAAACAAAAAGTTAACATTTGAGATTAATGGGCACAGTGGTGTTCTTTGAAGTAAAAGGGTTTTGATCTTGATGAAGTGCATTTTATCTATTTTTGTCTCCGCTTGTCTGTGTTCCAAAAAACAAACAAACAAACCATTGCTCAGTCCAAGGCCATGAAGAGTTTTTCTTCCTTTTTTTTTTTTTTTTTTTTTTTTCTGGTATCAGGGACCGAATTCAGGACCTTGTGCTTGCAAGGCAGGCAGCGGAACCACTGAGCCAAATCCCCAGCCCGAAGAGTTTTTATTTATCTTTATTAGTACATGTTTGCAGTACATAATGTTCACATTCCTTGTGGGGAGTTGGTACATGCACATGACACATCTTAACTCCTTTTTTTCATCCCTCTCCCTCATTCACTACCCCTTTGTCCATCTGTTGATCCTTTTCCCATTTGAGAAAGATCTATATCCCTACTTCCTATTAACTGTCTCTTATTTTATTCTTTATTTATAACTTGGGTTTCTCACAAAAGAGAAACTGCGTGATATTTAAGCTTGTGTGTCTGATTTATTTCACTTAACACCTCAAGGGTGCATCCCTTTTCCTACAAATGACTCGTTTATCTTTTGACCGATGCTCGGTGTTACGTTCTTAGCTCTTAGGTCTAGGTCTCTGATCCATGTTGAGTTTGGTGTGAGGTAGGGATCTAACGTTACTCTGTGAATGCCCAGCTGTCTCTGGCACCAGTGGTTGAAAATATTCTCTGGCCTCTTAATGTCCTTCTCAGTAGAAGAGTTCTGAGCATATAACCATGGGCTGGCCCTGTTCTGGGGTACAGTGTGTGCACAGAACAAAGTTCCTGGCTTGGGGGGAGCTTATATCCTTGGGAGGGGAAGAAAGGAGAGAAAGTGGCATTTAACAATGAATAAACAAAAGTGTGACACAACAGCAGGGCAGCCGCACTGCGAAGAAGGCCCTGGAGCCGTGACGATTTTGTGGAGGGTGGGCCAGCCTGCAGCAGAAGCCTCACCAGAGGGAAAGTGTGAGCCTGGTGGTGTGAACAGAGGACCTGCTCCCGGGAGAGCTGAATCAGGGCTTGGCACCTGTGGCTGAGTCCCAATCGGCCCTTCCTAAGGTGAAGATGTGTTTAATAGGCCCGGAGGTGCAGCCGTGCAGTGAGCATTCTCCCGACACTCGTGACCCCCGGCTTCCATCCCAGCACTGTAGAAAGAAAGCTTTCATGCACCTGCCGAGCCTTGCAGCCCGGCCTCCCAGCACCCAGCCCGGTGCTTTCCCAGCATGGTGGGAGAGGCTCAGACCACATATAACTGGCCCAGGAAAAGATCCAAATTCAAAATTCAAGTTCGCTTTCTACAGGACTTGTGCCATTTTCTCAGAGTTGAAAAACATTAAGTCAAACCATCATAAATCAAAGACAGTCTGCATTCATTTTTAATAAATACAAGACCCTGTTCCTGGCCACGTGTTCTTGGCGCGCTTTGAAAACTTGACCGCTGCACTGAGCACTTTACCCTGCGGGTAATCCTGCTGCGTTGCTGGCATCCGCTGCCCCCTTCAGTGTCAACCTTACTTCCTGGGCACCTCTTGCCAGCTAAGACAGGTAAGGGGGCTGCCGCCTGGTTCTGATGCCTGTGCAGTGCTGGAACAGAATTTGAGGCTGAAACGCTCCCTTTGGTGCCTTTAAAAATAGACCAGCTGTTATGCAGGTAAGATGTTAATGCATGCATTAGCATAATATGGTAATCGGCCCGGCGGCTTGGAGCCTGGTACAGTCAAGCCCACGTGTCCCCAAAGCATGGGGTCAGCACCAGCAAGACTGTGCTCCAAGCCTGCTGTGTGGGCAGAGGAGCCGAGGTCTAGAGCAGCACGGAAAGCGTCTCACGGAGGAAGCCAGATGCGAGAGGTCCTCTGCTGGCGCCAGGACAGGATGGGGCATCCATCAGGGGGCGGGCACAGCTCCCGCGGCACCCGAGGCGGCGGCGGTGGGAGATGGATGGAGAATTTTGGAATATAATTAACGTGATGGCAGCCCTCGGCTCCACAGAGTTCAATTTGCAGAAGCAACGTTTCAATTCGGGGCTGTTTATCACCCCGCCGAGGCTGGTTACACAGCGATAACAGAGAGGCTGCTGAGCAGGCTGAGCGCCATCCGTCTTGGACCCAGGATCCTGACTGCTGACGGAGGCCAGGACACTGGCTGCGGCTGGGCTGAGACCTCGTGCCTGCCGGCCTGCGCCATCGCGAGCCATCTGCCCTGGGACAACCAGTGTACAACGATGCAGGGTTCAGCTGCCTCCTCCCGGGAGTCTTAGCGGCTCTCACCCACCCGGGGGGAGCACAGCTAGGTGTCCTTGTCCGTCACCAACAAATAACAGACTCTCGGAAGTGGATTACGGGCCACCTGCCCTGCTTTGGGTCAAGATTGCGGTGCTTACTTAGAACTGGCCCACCCGTATCCCTCGCCGGTAGGATGCCGGTTAGCACTGCTCTGGCCCACAGCATGGCAGTGAAAGCTGCTGGAGATGGCTTCTGGGAAAGCTTTGTAAGAGGACTACAGTGCACTGCCGTGTTCTTTTCTTTAAACTTTCCTTTATAGGGGCTGGAGATTTAGCTCAGCGGTTCGGTGGCCTGCCTTGCAAGTGCAAGGACCCGAGTTCAACCCCCAGTACCAAAAAAAAAATTAAATAAATAAACTTTCCCTTATGTCTGGAATGCAGGTATAATTAATGCCTTGATCTCAGCAGCTTCATAGGATCAATGTGACAGACAGAAGGAGCATGGGCTGTGACGCCACCGTCGGACCTCACGCACTGAACCGCCTTGGACATTCCCATGAGACCGAGCAGGCCGCTCTCGGCAGTGTGCAGGACCCGGGGGCCTCTCACACTGGACCCCCAGACAGGCACCTGGACCGTGTGCTGAGGACTCAGGGGCTGCAGGCAGCAACAGCAGGGGTGGGGAGCTGGGGCAAAGCAGCTGGCTGCACTGTCCCCAGAGCTCCTGAGGCTCCCGGGGCCGGCGTGCCAGGGTTTGGTGGGAAGTGTGGGTGTGGCTCGTGCGGGGGGGGGCAGCCAGGTGAGAACAGCTTTGCTCCGAACGGCGACGGCATGACAGGACCCCAAAGTCCTCGTGAGGCCCCAGGTGACCACGTTGGGGAGAGCAGCATGGGAGGAGGTGATGGCTAAGGGACGGGGCCTGCAGGCCACATGATCGTCAGGCGTGACACACACCACAGTCACGGTCTCCACCAGTGTCACAGTACACCCGCACCACGTGCACGCTCCACACAGAGCACACACGTCACGCACACGCGCCTCGCACTCCATACGCATACCATGCACACAGCACACGTATCAGGTGCACACACTCACCACACACGCTATGTACACACACGGCACAGGCGCACCAACCATACCCTGCACACAAGTGCCACAGACCTCCCACGTGTATCACACACAGGTACCACACACACACTCCATACCACACACACAGAATACCATACGTGCATCTCACACAACACTACACACGCTCTCCTCCAGGCATCTCTCGCCTTCGCCTAGAAAATCACAAAAGCCTTTGAGAATCGCTAGGCCCAGCACTGCACGTCACCTGGTCGTGATGCTGTCCCCAAAACCTTCCAGCCAGGACGCCACAGCTGCCCCTCAGAGCACCTGTGTGATGTGACTGGGGTTCTGCGGCCGGCTGTGCCCAAAGCCGGGAATCAAAGCTTCTCCGTGGGTTGCACCCAGCACTTACCTCCTGACACAGTCACTCGATGCGTAGTAAGTTCCGCAGAGGGGAGAACGGATGAGCAGACACCAGCACAGAGAAACAGAGCCAGGCCTCTCAAAAGCACATCGTAGGTACTGAAAATGAAAGAAAATGCACCTTAAAACATATTTTATGGAGTAGTTCATCACATATACTGCTAGATTTGTCTACTGTAGGGTGTTTCGCATTGTATTTTTTAATGGTATGTGAACTTTTAAATGTGACAGTTAAGCACATCTTTGAAAGCATAGTCAGAGACAAAAGCAAAATGATACAGTGATTTCCTTCAGAATTCCTGCAATGTTCAATCAGGAGGCGGCTTCGGACTGTTTTATTCGTGGTAGTTACTGGCTGATCTTTTTTAATAGGCAGTAACTCCAGAGAAGAAACCTGCGCGTTTGCCTAATAAGTTGTTCTTTTACATTAAAGTTTAGAGTAAGCCCCGAGTAAAACAATGGAAATGTATATAGAACTACTAGTTCTTACATGATTTAATTTTATCAAGATGCATGAGTTTAACTTTCACTTACTTTTATGTAGGCAAACGATTCATTTTTGTTCATTTTGCTGTTTGTTGAAATAGCATCCCTGTCCTACATGCTCTTATCTTGACCCAAATAAAATACTAATCTAAGGTCAAGATGAGGAGAGGAATGACTGAGATGAATGTCTTTCCTAAAATAATCAATACATTTTGTCAAACTAAAAAAGAAAAAGGAAACAGAGCCAGGATCCCATTCCTGCAAGGCCAGAGCATTTCTTCTGCTTCTCCTCTTGAACAGGATATGGAGTTTCCCTCATTTGGCTTCTTTAATTGAAATATAATTCTTCTTAGCAATTTTCTTCAAAGTGATAATTCAACGTCATCCATATCTCAGTGCGGAGTGAAAATTGCCACGTGATTTCAAAACAAAATAAGAATGAGGTAGTTTGGAATGCTGTCAATAAGATCAAGCGAGAAAGGGCCAGGATTTAGCTCAGTGGCACTGTGCCTGCCTCTTCCAAGCACAAGGTCCTGAGTTTGATCTCTGGCACACACACGCGCGTACACATGCGCACACACATGCACACACATGCGCACAGATCAAGTGAGGAAAAGACCTTCATCAGAGCTGATCGTGTCAGTCTCTTTTCTGTAACTGTCACGGACACCTGCGATGGTTCAGTCGGTCAGAGGAGAGTTTATCGGGTCCACAGTTTCGGAGACTCCCATCCATGGTCACTTGGCCCCGCTGCTTTCAGGGCTGTGGTGAGGAAGCCCATCGTGGTGGGAGGATGTGGTGGATAAGGTTGGCCATGGTGGCCAGAAAGCAAAGTGAGAGGAAGTGGAGTTGTCTGGATCCCAGGATCCGGGCCGTGCTCTATGAGCTCACTTCCTCCCAGCAGCCTCGCCTCCTAAAGGTTCCGGGACTTCCCAGTGGCACCACAGGCTAGGACCCAAGCCTTCAACACAGGGGCCTTTGGGGGAGACTCCAGAGCCGAAGTATGGCGATGAAATGTAGAGCTCAAGGGACCTAGACCCTGGGGTTTCCCAGGATTCCCTGCAGCAGGCCACCAGCCCCTTCCAAGTCTCTGTCCATTGGACTCTGCTTCCTGGGCCCCCAACCTGGCCACCTGCTCTGCCCACCTGGAACCACCCCACAAGGCTCTGGAGGGTTCTCACCAACATTTGTACCTTTCCTATCACACTTGGCCTGGGCCTTCATGTGGATAGGAAGGTGTCCCCACACCCAGGGCAGCCAGTCTCCGAGGAACAAGGGGTCCAGAAGCACCCTCAGCACCTCTGAACCTTCAGCAGGAGGTTGAGAGTCTTAGTGGGCAGCTAGTGCCCAAGCTCCACCACTGCAAGTGCAAGAGCTCAGGGGCACCCTTCAGTCCCAGCTCTTTCCTCAGTCCTAGCTGAGAGAGCTTCTGTTTTCCCTGTCTCTGTCTCTGTCTCTGTCTCTCTCTCTCTCTCTGCATCACTTGTTGTCCTGTGTGGGGGTCACAGTGGCCTTGAGACTAAAGGCCAAAGTCAAGAGAACAAGTCACAAACACTGGACAGACAACACTTTGACTTGATTTCTAACTCCACCGTTGTGTCCTGCATCTTGTATGAGCCTCGGTTTATTTATTCTGCAAAATGGGAAAATCCTGAGACCCTGTTTACGTAAAGATGGGTCAAGAAAATGTAGTGTGGTTGGTACAGGTCTTCATGAAGATGAAAAGTATAAACCTGAAGAAAAGCCCCAAAGTCCCCCAGATGTTTGTGCCGATAAATTCCTGGAAACACATTCCTCTGTGAGTGTGTGTGTGTGTGTGTGTGTGTGTACACATGCGTGCTGTATACCTAGTGTACTAATAGGCTAGCAAGAAAGGGCAGAAACTCAAGACCAGTAGCTCTTATGGTGTGATGGGCCAACTTGCCAGGTGTGAAGAAGCTCGGAAGTGAGGGGTGCCAATTGCCTACAGGCAGAAGAAAGTAGAAAGTAGCCCCCAGAAGATCTGAGTTCAGCGCATCATTATTTTTTCTGCACTCAAAGTTTCAGCCTTCTCTTCCCACCTCTGTGGCCATGGGCACCTCATTTAACATCCTGGTGTCTCAACTTCTTGTCTTCAAAATGTGGATCATCACACCATCCTCTTGTATCATGACGTTTGCAGTTGCAAAGAACAGGCAACAGCAACCCAGATGGACTGTGATGGTCCGTCTTCATTGTCCACCTGACTGGATGAAGATTAGCAAAGCACACTTCCGAGTGCATCTGGGTGGGTTATGGGGCATGGCCTTGGGAATTAGATCTGTTCTCTGTAGCTCCTGCCTTGGAGCCAGCCAGCCATGGACTGAACCTTCTGAAACCTTGAGCCAAACAAATCTTTTAAATTGTGGATGTCAGGTGTTTTGTCCCAGCAACAGGAAAGTTGATTTAATATATGGACTTTAAAAACAAAGACAACACTCATTTGTGCCGCTGAAAGGCTCAGGTGACATTCAGTTCAGCAGTTCAATGCTATGATAGAGCATCTATTTCTTGTACTCTCTCTCTCTCTCTCTCTCTCTCTCTCTCTCTCTCTCTCTCTCTCTCTCTGTCTCTCCTCTGTTCCTTCCTGTGGCATTGGATTCAACTTACAGCTGCTCCCTGTACCCTGTACAGTCCAAGGAGGACTATCAGCAGCTCCCAGGGCTCCCTGTTCTCTCACTCATGTCCCTCGAGAGAGACAGATTCTCATTGCCCACTTCTCTTGGCATAGTCCAAGTATTACTCTGATTGGACCAACCTCAGTCACATCCCCGGATCTGAACCAATCGCTAAACAAGGAAGACAGAGTGCACTGATTGGCTTAACTCAGACCACATGCTCCACCTATGAGGTTGTGAGGAGAGCCTTGGACCTCCAAATGGTTTTCAGAGATGGTGGGAAGGGAGTTGACAACTAGAGTTCACACAGAACTATCCATGACAGTCTGCCCCTTGGATATCCTATGTGCATACAGATCCTTCTTCCTGAGGGCATTCAGAGCTGCCCAGGCTTACATAAACACACATATTGTGTCTCATGCAGTACTCAAAATCCAACCCAGGGACTGCATGCATCTCCAGGTTTGGGATCTCAGGAACAGTCACAGTCTTCCCTCAAGTCTGGATGGAATTTGTCGTGGTACAGGGAGAGAAACACAAAGGGAATCAGTTCACATGGCTGAAACGTGCAACAGAGAGGGTTCCAGCAGGGTTCAGTTGCAGGTTCTCAATGTCATGGGAGCTCCGGGTTTCTCTCTGTGATTCGCTCATCTCTGTCCTCCAAGTGTGAGATATTCCCTTGGCGGGTTTTCCTCACAGGTGCTACAGTGACTGCTAATGGCACCCTGAGTGCCCTGTGTCTTCGTCTGTGCTTGTGGCAGTGAATTGCAATTGATGATTTTGAGTCACCAGAATGGGCCACCTAGATGTTCAGGTTGCAAGCAACAGAAACCCAACTCAAAGAACAGGGACCTGCTTCAGGAAAAAGGCCCGTGTGCAGTGTATGTCCTATGGGAAGGGTGACAGGGTTCCAGCCAGTTCCAGCCAGGTCCCCAGGGGCATACGCCTTTGCTTGCAGTGGGTCAGGGCTGCCTGCCCTCAGCCGCCTTTGCTCAGCAAAGAGATTGGAGGTATATACCTGCTGTGGGTACTGGAAGCCAGGGATCTCACAACACGTTCACAGCCTGAGTGTCATAGTACAGCAGCAACAGACCCCAAGAAGGAGGAATCCAGGCTGCTCAGCTCCCCACCAAAGAGCAGCAGGAGCATTTTCCGGCCACAGCTGCTAAGGATAAGAAAGCACCCACCTCTGCCAGCACGCTCCCTCCTCAGGCCAATTAAAGATGGCACTGGGGAGGGAAGAGGAGGTTGATAAATGACAGAAAGCAAAACCAGAATGGTCCAGTTCCATCACACAGCTCCAATTAGCTGAGCCCTGCTGTGGCCCTCATTGGATGAGCTCACAGGCTCTGGAGCTCCCGGAACAGCAGCAGGAAGGTGCCACAGCTCCCAGCTCTGGCCACTCACCTTGGCAGGGTCTGAGTTGACCCTGTAGGGTAGACTCACTGAGCTCTGGATGGATTCATTCTGAGCCAAAACAAAAAATGTTTGCCCTGTTAAAATGGCCTTAGTGCCAGGTATGACAGCACAGGCCTGTAAGCCCAGCACTTGGGAGGCTGAGGCAGGAGCATAGTTACAAGTTTGGGGCCAGCCTGGCCTGTATAGTGAGTTTAAGGCCAGCCTGAACGACATAGCGAGACCCTGTCTCAAGAAAAATTGTCTTAGTCCCTTAGTCCCTAGCACCTTGATAGGACTGTACGGACAGGTTAATCTTACTATGTGAGGTCCTACTATGTGCCAGGACTTCCATTTCAAACACCATCTCCCAGAGCCTTTGCTACATCCTGCTGACCCCATATTACAGTTTTCATACAAATGGATTGAGGGAGGGAGCTGTACTAGAAGATCTCTCCCAATCTAACTAACGTCAGGGCACAGATCTGGGGTGAGAAATCAGGTGCCCAATAAATGACTGATGAAGTAATCAAAGCTGCTTTGTAACCTGCACTTCGACTTGATAATGTGTTTGCATCAGTCAGGTTAATTGCAATGATGCCATGTAACAAACAGCCCCAGAGTTGCAATGACTGAAACAGAAAGTGCATTGTTGCTCATGCAATGCCCATGAGAGGTTCACATGGTCCCCCAGGGCCAGTCTCCCAGAGGTGACTCAGCAGCCCAGACTGACATAAGCCAACGAGGCAGAGGTAGTAGAGGGAACTCAAGCCTAGGGGCTTTACAGGGAGAGGGAAGGAGACGGCGACACATGCGCACCCTTGCGCTTGTCAGGCGATCCTGTGCTGCCTCCGACACTGAGCCAAACCAGCCTCCTTCCCGAGTCCCTCCCCTGGTTGGTGGTGTCATATTTTTGGCAACAGAAAGCACACTGGCCCAGCCCCCGTCCTTGACATCCTGCTGCCCAAGATGCCCCTTTGGGCCCCTTGGACCAGTGATGTCTGTGACCTCTACGCAGTTCACGTCACCGCACTGACCCACCAGAATAGGCCACAGACAAGGCCAGGCATAGTGGAACCGGAAGTGATGTGGTCCAACGTGGCCAGGCCCCTGATGCTCTCAGGGGGTTGGTTCCCCAGGTGGATCTGAGTCTTAGTCACCTTTCTCGTCACTGGGGTGAAATACCTGACACCCAAGACTTAAAGGTGGAGAGGTTTATCTTGGTTCATGCTTTAGAAGTTTCAGCCCTTGCATGGTGGGGTGGACTCAGCTCTGGGGCAGAGTGGCACGGTGGAAGGGTCTGGGCAGAAGGCAGCTGCTCACACTGAGAAGCCGAGCACAAAGGAAGGAACAGGGAAGGGGCGTAGAACCTTCCAGGCCACGCCCACAGTGACGGCCCCTTTCCACCAGGCCCCACCTCCTAACAGCAAGTCAGCTATAAGCCCCAAGCTCCAATCGCCCTCCAAAGCCCCACCCGGGAACTCATGAGGCTGGGGGGACATCGAGGCCTGATCACAACAGCCCGTGTAACCCGGTGAGCAGGCGTGGCTGCCTGGAGGAGAGCTGGCAGCCCAGACCAGGGGGACAACCACGAGGGCCCAGGCCACTGATCTGCGGTCCGCTGTCCCCTCACCATCCGTCACCGCTGCCTTCACAGAACAGCTCGGTGAATAAAGGTGAACGAATGAATAACAGATTGGAGACAGCCAGGTTTCATTCTGCCTGGTCCGTGGCCAGTCGCCTCCTTGGCACCAGCTCTGACCCACAGTAAGATGAGGGTGTGGTACCTGGCACACAAGAAGACATCTTAAAAAATACAGCAAGACTGGCAC